TGTTATCTGGCTGAATGCACATGATACGTTATCATTCATCCAAATAAGATATTATCTCATAGACCGGTATCATACACAGTCGGTGAACCGAACATAAACTTAGACATGTTAATGATAGTTACTAGGAAGTGGTAGAAACGCTGAAGGCACACGTTGCCGGCGGTAGGATCACCCAAGACGACCACATGCACTCGTCTCAGACACTGAATCTTCGTTTTCTGGCACATTATCACTAGCGCCTGATGCCTGTTATCCACCTTATTTGTTTCCTTAGCGATTGTTGGCAATCATTTGAATAGTGAGACGAAATATGTCACATGTTTATAATTTTATTAAAATCTGCGGTACTTTGCATTATTGCCGAGCACTGTAACAGACATTCATGATAAGTCACGATAATTATCAGTAAGAAATGTCAGCTATGGAGCAGACTATAGGCCTAGTCTGTCCTGTCAGTAGAAGCTATAGTAAATTCACAGGCACTCATAGATCGGGAGACGTACTTTCAACGACAAAAATTAAACTTTTTCATATTACTCCTAATATAATTATGTTAAATATAGTGAATGACGGAGTAGGTGTAGTGGAGTGAAGCGTGTAGGTGTGAGGAGCGTGGCGGCGTGTGGCATCGGGCCGAGTGAAGCAGCCGCCGCCGCGCTACGCAAGTATCTCGGGCGAGTTGAGCTGAGCTCCAGCGGGCAGCTGCAGTCTGTCCGTGGCTGTGGCATAGAGAGGTTACGTGCGCCAGCCCGCCGCTCAGGTTTTATTGCCACCCCTTCTTCTACCACTCTATACTTACTACTATTACTACCACCACACCCACACTACTAACACTTAACCCCCTTTCCCCTGGGCCATGACTACCACCCATCACACGCTTAGCGACTGTTTGCTGCACACCAAACACCGTTTGTTAGACCAATGACAAACAGCAGCCCGAGGACGACCTCAAGTGATCTGTGGTGTGCTGGCTGGTGCTGCTGAGTGCTCCCTCATTTACCTCTCTTCCCACACTCGCTACAACCACTTCCTCTCCAACTAACACCAATCCAACTTACCAGTGTTATACGTAGAATAAGAATCTAGCAGTGTTCAGTGCTTATAAGTGAATATATATAAATATATATAATTATATAGAAATATAATTCGTTATAGAAAATACGGTGCAATTATACGAGTGTCCTTCAACAGCGAGAAGTGTGGCAGAAAAGCTGAGAGTTGCTAGCCGGGCGAGGGTGAGCTTACCCAAGTGTTTCCGTTAGAGGTCCAAATAGGCAACGGCCAGTGAACGTTTAGAACTGCCTTTGTCAGCGTGTATAGCAAGCTCAGGGCCACTAGTAAGTGCAACGCTGTTGAGCCGAGTGTATTTCGGGCAGAGGAAAGCTCAGGCGTCTTCTGAGTTTTTTGCTATCGCGTGGAGGATGGAGTGCGGAGCCGTGCTTCGCCTGCTGGGCCGGGGTAGGGCGGTCAAGGGACCCCTGTGTGCCGTGGCCCTCGCCCCGCCAGTCCTCAGGCCTCTCAACACCGTAACTCAGGTGAGCTAATGCACCTTGCTGAGTGTACGTTTGTTTTTGTGCGTATAAATACGTTAATGTGTGTGTTTTTGTGCGTATAAATACGTTAATGTTTGTGTTTTTGCTTGTGTACGACCTATGTGGGTGTACATTCGTGTGGGGGGGTTGAGCTTTGGCTCTTTGGTCCTGCCTTTCAACTGTCAATAAAAAAAACCTTTTACAGAGCCTAAGATTCCTGAGCCTTTTAGGCTCAATCATATCTACATTTGAAACTGTATATGGAGTCAGCCTCCACCAAATGTGTATGAACGTGTCTGTGTATACATTTAATTAATTTAATTTTGCTTGAGTGTGTGAGAGTGAGAAAGAGTATGAAAGAGAGAGAGGGTGAGTGTGAGAGAGAAACAGAGAATGTGTACGTGTATGCATGTTTGTATGCGTTTGTGTGCACATTTATGTGTATGTATAGTTTTATGTGTGTATGTATAATTTTATGTGTGTGTACCTTTAAATCTTTACATGTTTTGTGTGTGTGTGGATGAGAGAGGTTGTACGTTTATAAGTATACGTTTGTGAGTGTAAGCGTTCGTTTGTGTGTGTGTTTAGTGTGTATGTGTGTGTGTGTGTGTGTGTGTGTGTGTGTGTGTGTGTGTGTGTGTGTGTGTGTGTTTAGTGTGTGTGTGTGTGTGTGTGTGTGTGTGTGTGTGTGTGTGTGTGTGTGTGTGTGTGTGTGTGTGTGTGTGTGTGTGTGTGTTTAGTGTGTGTGTGTGTGTGTGTGTGTGTGTGTGTGTGTGTGTGTGTGTGTGTGTGTGTGTGTGTGTGTGTGTGTGTGCTCACCTAGTTGTACTCACTTAGTTGTGTTTGGGGGGTTGAGCTCTCGCTCTTTGGTCCCGCCTCTCAACCGTCAATCAACTGATGTATAGATCCCTGATCCTACTGGGCTCTATCATATCCACATTTGGAGCTGTGTATGGAGTCTGCCTCCACCACATCACTGGCTAATGCATTTCACCTGTTAACTATGACAATGAAAAAGTTCTTTCTGACGTTTCTGGCTCATTTGGGTACTCAATTTCCACCTGCGTCCCCTTGTTCGCGTACCACCCGTGTTAAACAGTTTATCCTTATCTACCCTGTCAATTCCTCTGAGAATTTTGTAGGTAGTGATCATGTCTCCCCACTGTGTGTGTGTGTGTACTTAGTTGTGCTTGCGGGGGTTGAGCTCCAGCTCTTTAGTCCCGCCCCTCAACTGTCATCCAACTCATGTACAGGTTCCTGAGCCTACTGGGCTCTATCATATTTACACTTGTAGCTGTGTATGGAGTCAGCCTACACCACATCACTTTCAAATGCATTCCATTTGTCTACTACTCTGACACTGAAAACTTCTTTCTAACGTTTCTATGGCTCATTTGGGCACTCAATTTCCACCTGTGTCCCCTAGTGCGTGTGCCCCTTGTGTTAAATAGTCTGTCTTTATAGTGTGTGTGTGTGTGTGTGTGTGTGTGTGTGTGTGTGTGTGTGTGTGTGTGTGTGTGTGTGTGTGTGTGTGTGTGTGTGTGTGTATGTGTGTTTCCTCTAATAAATGTTCGAAGAAATTATCATGTTTTTTAAGTCTCAAACTTAAAGGATCGATGTGATGCATCAATAACTCCGTCGGGGTTGTCATATTTACATTCATGTATAACGCTAGTGTACATGACTGTTTGTAGTTTACAAGTTTCTTGTGGTGTTTGTAGTGCGTGAGTTTGCTAGTGAAGTATAAATTTGCTTGTAGTATGGAAGTTTACTTGTAGGATTGTACAAACTTGTTGCAATGAACAAGTCTGCTTGTATTTGTGCGTGTATGTATACATGTCAGTACATACTTTAACAAGTTTGTTTATGTGTGATTGTTTAAAGTGAAGACTTGTTTCTAATATGTGTGTAGGGCTAAACGTCATTATGTGTGCATTGTTGGTATATATTCATGTGTGCACGCACACATTACTTTAAATGCGTTGTATTATCTACATGAGTATATTTATATATGCAGTTCTTAAGTGTTCGGGAAGTGGCAATGTTCCGTGGTTTAGTTCAATATCCAACATTGGATTTGAAATTAAACAATGCGAGGTTAAAGTGCAGATTTTTAGCTTAAAGTTGAGGATATTAATATCAATATCTGGTGAACCATGTGGGAATTACAGCCATTTTATACATAGTTCCCCCCCCCCCTGTTTTAAGACGACCAAAAGTGATTAGACACTTAGAGTACTTAGCTGTTTCTTGGCCAGGTGTGTGTCGTTCATGTACAGGATAGTTAACAAATGGTCTAGAATTGTATTTGGAGTCTGTTTCTGTTGTCTCTCTCTACACGAGGACTAAAGAAGTGTCAATGCTGTTAAGCAGATCATCAAGATGCTGGGGCATCAGAATAAATCGACCCGAGATATTAGTAGAGGTGTGTCACAATCATTTGTTTAATACAAATGATTAAGAAACTAAGCTTGGTAAACTACAGCAGACAACTGTACTGAACGACTAAAGAATACTTTTAATTGTCGAACCTCCTGAGTCCAGGACCCTCCAGGACTCAGGAGGGTCCACCAGAAAATACAAGGCCCTGGGAAGCTTCAAGACCAAAACAACCGGGCTATAGTTTCCTACAAAGTGCATGAAAAATAATAACAGCAAAGTTATCTAACAGTGCCTAATGGACGGATAAGATGAAGAATAACTTCATCTTATCCGAATGATAAAGGAAAGTGTGGAGGAAGAAGGGAAGTGTTGATGGTCAGCAGCGGCCAGACCGAGCCACCACCGGTGTGTTGGGGGAGGGGGGGGGGGGGGGGGTAGTATGGTTGGGTGGGGGGGCTTGGCCGTGGATGGCTGCCACAGTGAGACACAGTGTGGGGGGGGGGTAGTAGTAAGGTTGGGGGGGGGCTTGGCCGTGGATGGCTGCCACAGTGAGACACAGTGTGGGGGGGGGTGTAGTAGTATGGTTGGGGGGGGGTAGTATGGCTTGGCCGTGGATGGCTGCCACAGTGAGACAGAGTGTGTGGGGGGTAGTATGGCTTGGCCGTGGATGGCTGCCACAGTGAGACAGAGTGTGTGGGGGGGTAGTATGGCTTGGCCGTGGATGGCTGCCACAGTGAGACAGAGTGTGTGGGGGGGTAGTATGGCTTGGCCGTGGATGGCTGCCACAGTGAGACAGAGTGTGGGGGGGTAGTAGTATGGTTGGGGGGGGGGGTAGTATGGCTTGGCCATGGATGGCTGCCACAGTGAGACAGAGTGTGGGGGGGTAGTAGTATGGTGGGGGGGGATAGTATGGCTTGGCCATATCTTCTGGACCAAGCGTTTTTGCTTTAGATGTATTTACACCATTGGTATACTGATGGGCTGTTATTCTAATCTTAGGCCCAGATCATATCTGCCGTCTTCAGATAGCCTAATGATAACACTGGCTTAGCCTACGGTAGTGTATATTAGTTGTTGTATTTCAACTCAGTTGTTTAAAGTAGCATTTTGTGGTACTGTGTTACCATTTAGGGTGACATCAGAACGTGTGGTACACTGAGCCCAGTGTGTGACATCAGAACGTGTGGCACACTGAGCCCAGTGTGTGACATCAGAACGTGTGGCACACTGAGCCCAGTGTGTGACATCAGAACGTGTGGCACACTGAGCCCAGTGTGTGACATCAGAACGTGTGGCACACTGAGCCCAGTGGGTGACATCAGAACGTGTGGCACACTGAGCCCAGTGTGTGACATCAGAACGTGTGGCACACTGAGCCCAGTGGGTGACATCAGAACGTGTGGCACACTGAGCCCAGTGGGTGACATCAGAACGTGTGGCACACTGAGCCCAGTGTGTGACATCAGAACGTGTGGCACACTGAGCCCAGTGTGTGACATCAGAACGTGTGGCACACTGAGCCCAGTGGGTGACATCAGAACGTGTGGCACACTGAGCCCAGTGGGTGACATCAGAACGTGTGGCACACTGAGCCCAGTGGGTGACATCAGAACGTGTGGTACACTGAGCCCAGTGGGTGACATCAGAACGTGTGGCACACTGAGCCCAGTGGGTGACATCAGAACGTGTGGCACACTGAGCCCAGTGGGTGACATCAGAACGTGTGGCACACTGAGCCCAGTGGGTGACATCAGAACGTGTGGCACACTGAGCCCAGTGGGTGACATCAGAACGTGTGGCACACTGAGCCCAGTGGGTGACATCAGAACGTGTGGCACACTGAGCCCAGTGTGTGACATCAGAACGTGTGGCACACTGAGCCCAGTGGGTGACATCAGAACGTGTGGCACACTGAGCCCAGTGGGTGTCATCAGAACGTGTGGCACACTGAGCCCAGTGTGTGATATCAGAACGTGTGGCACACTGAGCCCAGTGGGTGACATCAGAACGTGTGGCACACTGAGCCCAGTGGGTGACATCAGAACGTGTGGCACACTGAGCCCAGTGGGTGACATCAGAACGTGTGGCACACTGAGCCCGGTGGGTGACATCAGAACGTGTGGCACACTGAGCGCAGTGGGTGACATCAGAACGTGTGGTACACTGAGTCCAGTGGGTGACATCAGAACGTGTGGCACACTGAGCCCAGTGGGTGACATCAGAACGTGTGGCACACTGAGCCCAGTGTGTGACATCAGAACGTGTGGCACACTGAGCGCAGTGGGTGACATCAGAACGTGTGGTACACTGAGTCCAGTGGGTGACATCAGAACGTGTGGCACACTGAGCGCAGTGTGTGACATCAGAACGTGTGGCACACTGAGCCCAGTGGGCGACATCAGAACGTGTGGCACACTGAGCCCAGTGGGTGACATCAGAACGTGTGGCACACTGAGCCCAGTGGGTGACATCAGAACGAGTGGCACACTGAGCCCAGTGGGTGACATCAGAACGTGTGACACACTGAGCCCAGTGGGTGACATCAGAACGTCTGGCACACTGAGCCCAGTGGGTGACATCAGAACGTCTGGCACACTGAGCCCAGTGGGTGACATCAGAACGTGTGGCACACTGAGCCCAGTGGGTGACATCAGAACGTGTGGCACACTGAGCCCAGTGGGTGACATCAGAACGTGTGGCACACTGAGCCCAGTGGGTGACATCAGAACGTGTGTCACACTGAGCCCAGTGGGTGACATCAGAACGTCTGTCACACTGAGCCCAGTGGGTGACATCAGAACGTGTGGCACACTGAGCCCAGTGGGTGACATCAGAACGTGTGGCACACTGAGCCCAGTGGGTGACATCAGAACGTCTGTCACACTGAGCCCAGTGGGTGACATCAGAACGTCTGGCACACTGAGCCCAGTGGGTGACATCAGAACGTGTGGCACACTGAGCCCAGTGGGTGACATCAGAACGTGTGGCACACTGAGCCCAGTGGGTGACATCAGAACGTGTGACACACTGAGCCCAGTGGGTGACATCAGAACGTGTGGCACACTGAGCCCAGTGGGCTCTTAGGCATAGTATTTTGAACATTCAATCCATAGCAGCTGAAGACGTATCATTTGTGGCGGAGAGGTTCCAAGTTTCACGTCTACATCTTAATGTTTTGTTCTTATAGAACCTTTTAGGGAGCCGGTGGCTGAGCGGACAGGACACTGGACGCGTGATCCTGTGGTCCCGGGTTCCATCCCGGGCGCCGGCGAGAAACGATGGGCAGAGTTTCTTTCACCCTGATGCCTCTGTTACCTAGCAGTAAATAGGTACCTGGGAGTTAGTCAGCTGTCACGGGCTGCTTCCTGGGGGTGGAGGCCTGGTCGAAGACCGAGCCGCGAGGACACTAAAGCCCCAAAATCATCTCAAGATAACCTCAAGATAACCTCAAGATAACCTGGCGTTGGGCAGCTATGTTATTATAATAATTATCTTGAGCCTTACTCCTCCACTCTCACTGGACGCGAACAAAGGCGACGCGGAAATTAAGTATCCAGATGAGGCACAGAAACATGAGGAGGATTTGTGTTCGTGTCAGAGTAATAAACAACAGGTGTGTACCGTAGGGGTGGGGGTCAGGTGTGTACCGTAGGGGTGGGGGTCAGGTGTGTACCGTAGGGGTGGGGGTCAGGTGTGTACCGTAGGGGTGGGGGTCAGGTGTGTACCGTAGGGGTGGCGGTCAGGTGTGTACCATAGGGGTGGCGGTCAGGTGTGTACCGTAGGGGTGGGGGTCAGGTGTGTACCGTTGGTATGGGGGTCAGGTGTGTACCGTTGGTGTGGGGGTCAGGTGTGTAGTGTTGGGGTGGGGTCAGGTGTGTACCGTAGGGGTGGGGGTCAGGTGTGTACCGTAGGGGTGGGGGTCAGGTGTGTATCGTTGGTGTGGGGGTCAGGTGTGTACTGTTGGGGTGGGGGTCAGATGTGTACCGTTGGGTTGGGAGTCAGTTGCGTACCGTTGGGGTGGGGGTCAGGTGTGTACCGCTGGGGGTGGGGGTCAGGTGTGTACCGTTGGGGTGGGGGTCAGGTGTGTACCGTTGGTGTGGAGGTCAGGTGTGTACCGTTGGTGTGGGGGTCAGGTGTGTACCGTTGGGGTGGGGTCAGGTGTGTACAGTTGGGGTGGGGGTCAGGTGTGTACCGTTGGGGTGGGGGTCAGGTGTGTACCGTTGGGGTGGGGGTCAGGTGTATACCGTGGGGGTCAGGTGTGTACCGTTGGGGTGGGGGTCAGGTGTGTACCGTTGGGGTGGGGTCAGGTGTGTACCGTTGGGGTGGGGTCAGGTGTGTACCGTTGGGGTGGGGGTCAGGTGTGTACCGTTGGGGTGGGGGTCAGTTGTGTACTGTTGGGGTGGGAGTCAGGTTTGTACCGTTGGGGTGGGGGTCAGGTGTGTACCGTTGGGGATGGGGGTCAGGTGTGTACCGTTGGGGTGGGGGTCAGGTGTGTACCGTTGGGGTTGGGGGTCAGGTGTGTACCGTTGGGGGTGGGGTCAGATGTGTACCGTTGGGGCTGGGGTCAGGTGTGTACCGATGGGGGTGGCGTCAGGTGTGTACCGTTAGAGGTGGGGGTCAGATGTGTACCGTTGGGATGGGGTCAGGTGTGTACCGTTGGGGTGGGGGTCAGGTGTGTACCGTTGGGGTGGGGGTCAGGTGTGTACCGTTGGGGTGGGGGTCAGGTGTGTACCGTTGGTATGGGGGTCAGGTGTGTACCGTAGGGGTGGGGGTCAGGTGTGTACCGTTGGGGTGGGGGTCAGGTGTGTACCGTTGGGGTGGGGGTCAGGTGTGTACCGTTGGGGTGGGGGTCAGGTGTGTACCGTTGGGTTGGGGGTCAGGTGTGTACCGTTGGGGATGGGGGTCAGGTGTGTACCGTTGGGGTGGGGGTCAGATGTGTACCGTTGGGGTCGGAGTCAGGTGTGTACCGTTGGGGTGGGAGTCAGGTGTGTACCGTTGCGGTGGGAGTCAGGTGTGTACCATTGGGGTTGGGGGTCAGGTGTGTACCGTTGGGGGTGGGGTCAGATGTGTACCGTTGGGGCTGGGGTCAGGTATGTTCCGTTGGGGGTGGCGTCAGGTGTGTACCGTTAGAGGTGGGTGTCAGATGTGTACCGTTGGGATGGGGTCAGGTGTGTACCGTTAGGGTGGGGTCAGGTGTGTACCGTTGGGGTGGGGTCAGGTATATACCGTTGGAGTGGGGTCAGATGTGTAGCGTTGGGGTGGGGTCAGGTGTGTTCCGCTGGGGGTGGGGTCAGATGTGTACCGTTGGGGGTGGGGTCAGATGTGTACCGTTGGGGTGGGGTCAGGTGTGTGTACCGTTGGGGTGGGGGTCAGATGTGTACCGTTAAGGGGTGGGGGTCAGATGTGTACCGTTGGGGGTGGGGGTCAGATGTGTACAGTTGGGGTGGGGGTCAGATGTGTACCGTTAAGGGGTCGGGTCAGATGTGTGTCGTTAAGGGGTGGGGTCAGATGTGTACCGTTAAGTGGTGGGGTCAGACCCCATAAACAGCTTCACATGGAGGTAAGAAGGCTGACTGACGGTCCCAAAGAGCCTAAAGTTTTTCCAAGAAATAATAAATAGTTAATTACGTCTACCCAACCCATCCTACTCTCCCTCCCCCCAACCCATCCTACTCTCCCTCCCCCCAACCCATCCTACTCTCCCTCCCCCCAACCCATCCTACTCTCCTCCCCCAACCCATCCTACTCTCCCTCCCCCCAACCCATCCTACTCTCCCTCCCCCAACCCATCCTACTCTCCCTCCCCCCAACCCATCCTACTCTCCCTCCCCCCAACCCATCCTACTCTCCCTCCCCCCAACCCATCCTACTCTCCCTCCCCCACCCCATCCTACTCCCCCTCCCCCCAACCCATCCTACTCTCCCTCCCCCACCCCATCCTACTCTCCCTCCCCCACCCCATCCTACTCTCCCTCCCCCAACCCATCCTACTCTCCCTCCCCCAACCCATCCTACTCTCCCTCCCCCAACCCATCCTACTCTCCCTCCCCCCAACCCATCCTACTCTCCCTTCCCCCAACCCATCCTACTCTCCCTCCCCCCAACCCATCCTACTCTCCCTCCCCCAACCCATCCTACTCTCCCTCCCCCAACCCATCCTACTCTCCCTCCCCCACCCCATCTTACTCTCCCTCCCCCCAACCCATCCTACTCTCCCTCCCCCCAACCCATCCTACTCTCCCTCCCCCCAACCCATCCTACTCTCCCTCCCCCCAACCCATCCTACTCTCCCTCCCCCACCCCATCCTACTCTCCCTCCCCCAACCCATCCTACTCTCCCTCTCCCAACCCATCCTACTCTCCCTCCCCCAACCCCCCTCCAAACCTCTACCCCAACTCATCCTAACACCTACCTATTCCTGCCCCTTCCACTTTATTTGTTACAAACTACCTTTCCCACCCCACCTTCTTTCCACCCGTTCCAGCCCCCCCCCCCCTCATCCTCTCCACTAGGGGGGGGGGGAGTGTGGGTCACACCCCCACGCCACGCCCCCTCCTGCTGGTTCTAGTGAGGGCTGAAGATCAGTTCCGTGGTCTCCGCCTCCCAACCCATGTTGTATCACCCCGTCCTCCTAAGGTTTCAGAACGTCGTAAAACGGTCATACTAAAGTGCCCTTATCCTAACCTACCAGAGGACCCCAAACAGAAAACGGGACAGTGTGTCAATTTCCCGAGCCGCTACCTTTTTCCAGTATGACAATTTTTGGCCTTGGGGTAGAGTATATGTCAAAATGCGACGTTCTATTAGCAGGACGAGTAGGTTGGATGTCTTATGTTTCATAACATATTACCGGTATGTGTTCTGCTGGGAGGCAAGTTATTGTTATATAGCACACTCATGGGGCTATTGTTATGAAGCACACTCATGGGGTTATTGTTATAAAGACACTCATGGGGCTATTGTTATAAAGCACACTCATGGGGCTATTGTTATAAAGCACACTCATGGAGCTATTGTTATAAAGACACTCATGGGGTTATTGTTATAAAGCACACTCATGGGGCTGTTGTTATAAAGCACACTCATGGGGCTATTGTTATAAAGCACACTCATGGGGTTATTGTTATAAAGCACACTCATGGGGTTATTGTTATAAAGCACACTCATGGGGTTATTGTTATAAAGCATACTCATGGGGCTATTGTTATAAAACACACTCATGGGGTTATTGTTATAAAGCACACTCATGGGGTTATTGTTATGAAGCACACTCATGGGGTTATTGTTATAAAGACACTCATGGGGCTATTGTTATAAAGCACACTCATGGGGTTATTGTTATAAAACACACTCATGGGGCTATTGTTATAAAGCACACTCATGGGGTTATTGTTATAAAACACACTCATGGGGCTATTGTTATAAAGCACACTCATGGGGTTATTGTTATGAAGCACACTCATGGGGTTATTGTTATAAAGACACTCATGGGGCTATTGTTATAAAGCACACTCATGGGGTTATTGTTATAAAACACACTCATGGGGTTATTGTTATAAAGCACACTCATGGGGTTATTGTTATAAAGCACACTCATGGGGTTATTGTTATAAAGCATACTCATGGGGCTATTGTTATAAAACACACTCATGGGGCTATTGTTATAAAGCACACTCATGGGGCTATTGTTATAAAGCACACTCATGGGGCTATTGTTATAAAGCACACTCATGGGGCTATTGTTATAAAGCACACTCATGGGGTTATTGTTATAAAGCACACTCATGGGGTTATTGTTATAAAGCACACTCATGGGGCTATTGTTATAAAGCACACTCATGGGGCTATTGTTATAAAGCACACTCATGGGGCTATTGTTATAAAGCACACTCATGGGGCTATTGTTATAAAGCACACTCATGGGGCTATTGTTATAAAGCACACTCATGGGGTTATTGTTATAAAGCACACTCATGGGGTTATTGTTATAAAGCACACTCATGGGGCTATTGTTATAAAGCACACTCATGGGGCTATTGTTATAAAGCACACTCATGGGGCTATTGTTATAAAGCACACTCATGGGGCTATTGTTATAAAGCACACTCATGGGGCTATTGTTATAAAGCACACTCATGGGGCTATTGTTATAAAGCACACTCATGGGGCTATTAATGATGGATGGGATGCCAGCATGGTGGGACTGGAAGCCATCTTGCCTCGTGTCCTCCCATGACTGTGTAGACATGAACATGTTGGTGCCTGAGAGTGACTGGTCAGTAACCACTGCTTGAGAGGCTTTAACAGTCTCATTGAGTGGATTCTGCATGACTGGCAGTGCTATGAATATTGTAATAATAATTGTAGGTTGTTAATTTACTATGTCAGTTGCACGTCCTGAGATCACGAGGAACATCTTTCTTAAATATTATCAGAATTCCGTTTTAATTTTTGTGTAGTATCAAGTTTGAGTAAAAAGACAGACCGGGCATTGGTAATAGTTTTGAGTTGAGTTTTTTTAACTTTTTTAGAATATACCTGGAAATATGCCTCACACCCTGGGGTGAGACCACTGGCGAGGGTCACACCCTGGGGTGAGACCACTGGCGAGGGTCACACCCTGGGGTGAGACCACTGGCGAGGGTCACACCCTGGGGTGAGACCACTGGCGAGGGTCACACCCTGGGGTGAGACCACTGGCGACGGTCACACCCTGGGGTGAGACCACTGGCGAGGGTCACACCCTGGGGTGAGACCCCTGGCGAGGGTCACACCCTGGGGTGAGACCACTGGCGAGGGTCACACCCTGGGGTGAGACCACTGGCGAGGGTCACACCCTGGGGTGAGACCACTGGCGAGGGTCACACCCTGGGGTGAGACCACTGGCGAGGGTCACACCCTGGGGTGAGACCACTGGCGAGGGTCACACCCTGGGGTGAGACCACTGGCGAGGGTCACACCCTGGGGTGAGACCACTGGCGAGGGTCACACCCTGGGGTGAGACCACTGGCGAGGGTCACACCCTGGGGTGAGACCACTGGCGAGGGTCACACCCTGGGGTGAGACCACTGCCGAGGGTCACACCCTGGGGTGAGACCACTGGCGAGGGTCACACCCTGGGGTGAGACCACTGGCGAGGGTCACACCCTGGGGTGAGACCACTGGCGAGGGTCACACCCTGGGGTGAGACCACTGGCGAGGGTCACACCCTGGGGTGAGACCACTGGCGAGGGTCACACCCTGGGGTGAGACCACTGCCGAGGGTCACACCCTGGGGTGAGACCACTGGCGAGGGTCACACCCTGGGGTGAGACCACTGGCGAGGGTCACACCCTGGGGTGAGACCACTGGCGAGGGTCACACCCTGGGGTGAGACCACTGGCGAGGGTCACACCCTGGGGTGAGACCACTGGCGAGGGTCACACCCTGGGGTGAGACCACTGGCGAGGGTCACACCCTGGGGGTGAGACCACTGCCGAGGGTCACACCCTGGGGTGAAACCACTGGTGAGGGTCACACCCTGGGGTGAGACCACTGGCGAGGGTCACACCCTGGGGTGAGACCACTGCCGAGGGTCACACCCTGGGGTGAGACCACTGGCGAGGGTCACACCCTGGGGTGAGACCACTGCCGAGGGTCACACCCTGGGGGTGAGACCATTGGCGAGGGTCACACCCTGGGGGTGAGACCACTGGTGAGGGTCACACCCTGGGGGTGAGACCACTGGCGAGGGTCACACCCTGGGGTGGGACCACTGGCGAGGGTCACACCCTGGGGTGAGACCACTGGCGAGGGGTCACACCCTGGGGTGAGACCACTACCGAGGGTCACACCCTGGGGGTGAGACCATTGGCGAGGGTCACACCCTGGGGTGAGACCACTACCGAGGGTCACACCCTGGGGTGAGACCACTACCGAGGGTCACACCCTGGGGGTGGGACCACTGGTGAGGGTCACACCCTGGGGGTGGGACCACTGGTGAGGGTCACACCCTGGGGGTGGGACCACTGGTGAGGGTCACACCCTGGGGGTGATAATAATAAATTTGCCTTACGAGGATAATTTTAAAGTGCTAATCATCTTGTGCGACAAGAGAGCTTGACGATCAGGTGACGTTGGGTACAGCCTGGCAGGTCTACGACTGATCGGAGGTTCTCATAGTTAACTATTGACATGTCTGGCTATAGTAAGCACAGACAAATTTGATTCCAGACGATACAAGTTTCAAGTGCTGAAAATATTTAATTGCCAGTTCCATCGCAGTACCGCGCCCGTAATCGTCGCCTGTCAGTCTATTTAGAATAACAGTTCGTCAAACTTGAAAGAAATATTTAAAAATAAGATGACCTATTAACAAAGTATTATTATTATTATTAACATCTTTATTGACAAAAAATATACAATTTTGCCTAATTGCCTAATCTGAGGATTTCAATTAAGTCTTATTATTAAAGTGAGGATAATGCTGGTATTCACTGTCACGCAGGACAGACGGTCATACACAAGACAATAGGTCTAAACTGTAGGCTGAAGCACATATATATCATGGTTACAATCAATGTTTTAATGTATGAATATGTAAAAACAACTTACTATTGTGCGCTGCCACACAAGGGCAGGGATAGGTTCATAAGTGATGCAGCTTAGAAGTAATATAAGTAAAAATTGTTCTTCATTCTTTAAAATGGACAAGCAAATTTTGGATAAATTGTTAGGATGTCGTCCAGAACACCTGAGTCAATGAAATAGTTACACAGTTGGTGGTACAAGAGGCCAGGAGGTCTAAAGTCCTTTACGGTTTCACATTCAACAATATAGTGTTCTAGTGAATGCATTAAAAGTTTATCACAGAGTTTACAATCTGAATATTCTGGTAGTGGCTCAGCCTCACTAACCTGCCAGATGTGTCTATAGCCAAGACGATTTCGCGCAATGACTACATCACATTGCCTGGTCCGGTTACTGTGCTGACCATACAAATACCTATTATTACGAAACTAACAAAGTATTAAATAGGAATAGCAGGACAGGAAATGACAAATGTAACAGTTAGGGAGAATATCGGACTAGTAAAAAATTCAGCTAATCAGGTACTTAGCCTCGGTATTATTAGAAGAAAATAGATATTATGCTGAACAAATCTATATAGGAGGTGACGAGGACAAGTTGACTAGTTTAGGAAGTTACTAGGAGGAAGTTATTAATTAAATAGATAAATTCCAGGGACAGAGGAAGTATTTGCCAGGGTTTCTAAAGGATACAAATAAAAGGGCTGCTCATGTTAAAAAAAATGATTCTCAAATTTTTCCAGTACTTTTCAAGCAGGTGACAGCAGAAAGTATTGCGAAATTGTACACCTAAACTTCAGCAAAGCTTTGATTCCGTAATTCAGGAAAGACTCATTAATCAGGAGTGAGTTAGAGAGGAGAGACTCATTAGAAAGATAGAGGCACAAGGTACTGGAAATTAGGGAGATTGCCCTCGGTTGAAATAGGGTTTAGTTAATTCTCAGCAAGCAGAGTCAGCATGACTGGAGGTAAGGCAGCATAAGAAACACTTACTCCACTTACACAGGTTCTGGGGACCTCTGTTGTTTACCGGGAGAAACGATTTAGACAGTGCAGCAACGTTTGCAAATTTGCAGATATAGAAATAGGATAGTAAATAAATTCAGAAGACACAAAATCACCACAAGATGATCTAAATAGAATTATAAAATGGATAAAAGATTGGTAGATGTACTTTAATGTTGAAAAAATGTAGGGTTTTGAGTGTAGATAAAGAAAATAGTTACCAGATATCACGTGGACAATGTTGAAAATTACGAAATCTGAATGCGAAAAAAGTCGGGAGTCATGATTAGTAGGATCTACAGACAAAAATGTGATGCATAAATGTCCGGAATAATACAAATAGGGTACATAGGGGCTCAACAAATAGGTTTCGGGGTTCAACGTCCCAGCGGCCCGGTCCCCGACTAGGCCTCCTGGTTGCTAGACTGATCAACCAGGCTGTTGGACGTGACTGCTCGCAGCCTGACGTATGTATTCATCTAGTTGTGCTTGCGGGGGTTGAGCTCTGCTCTTTCAGCCCACCTCTCATCTGTCAACGAATCAACTGTTACTAACTACTATTTCCCCCCCCCCCACACACACAAACCCAGGATGCAGCCCGTAACCGCTGTCTAACTCCCAGGTACCTGTTTACAGCTGGATAACAGTGGCATCAGGGTGAAAGAAACCCTGCCCATTGTTTCTCGCCGGCGCCGGGAATTGAACCCCGGACCACAGGATTGCGTGTATCATAGCCTGGTTGACCAGGCATCCTTTGGAGGTGTTTATCGAGCTAAAAAAAGAGTTAAGCTTACATGACTATAAAGTGTTTGTGTTTATTTCTAAAAGCGTCATTATTAAGTCATCTAGTATCACAAGGGAGAAATATACCATAAGGTATACTCTGCTCCTCGGAGATATATCACTTTACTGTGATGTATTTCACTGTATATACTCATAGTTTACTCTCATCCTAGACTATGTTCAGGACAAGTATACTTGCTATTTTGGTGGCCTTAATAACCCTTCAGAGGCCGAGTGACCTTAAACTCAACACCAAACCTCAAAAACATACAATTTATCTTGCCCTTGTTAGACCCTATTGACGCCACACAGTTCAGTCGTGGTGCGCGTACAGAGAAGGATGACAAAGGTAATCTAGCAATTAGAAACTTCCTGATGAAGAGTGCTTAAAAAAGCTTGATTTATATCCTCTAGACAGACGAAGAGTAAGTGGACTTGATTAAAGCATATAATTGGGTGAAAGTTTATAATAAGGGAGGATATAAATAATGTTTTACGTGTATCAAAACAAAATAGAACACGAAATAATGTATTTAAATTGGTAGTTCAGGAGAGACGTGGGTAAATACTGGTTTGGAAATAAAATTTCCCCCTATTTCCCCAATAAAAAAGTTTATGGACAAACTCTTTGGTAACACAATAGACGGGCGGATCACTGGATTTTTCACGCCTAGGTTATACATATACGAAAGAGTTTGAGTGGATATAAATTAGAGATGTCACGAATGGGCACTGGCCCAGTTTTCTTTATTCGTATGTTCTTATGAAGAGCCAGGTGGACCTTTGGGTTGTCGTGACCCCAAGGCACTGACGAGGCTGTTGTCGGGAAGGTGGTCGCAGGCCGGGCTGCTCCTGTATATAATGTTCACAAAACCGGCCACAGGAGAACCACAAGTTCACAAACAGGTAACGAAGTGATAGTTAAGACTTATATATTTCTCCGGTCCCGCTAGGCTAATATTACTAGCACAAAAGGCATTATGAGGGGAAGGGAATTATCAGGGGAAGGCACCAAGCTATTACGACTATATAACACTTGAAGGGGATGAGAATAAGGAGTTGAGGTGGGACGGAGGAAAGGAATGGTGCCCAACCACATGGACGAACGGGGATTAAACGCCGACCAGCATCAAGCGAGACCGTTGCTCTACTGTCCTGCCTAAGTGTTTGGGCTGGCATCAGAGTGGTAATTTCATTTCATCTCATTTATTATGCACTGCAAATTGTTTTATTTTCTTTAGTTTTCAATTTTTTTATGTAGGTTAAACATAAAAAAAACATTTGTTTAGTTTATGAGTAGTAGGAAAATTATATGAAGTAGACAATCACGTAGTAGAAGCCAGCTCCGCCTGCAATTTAAACAATATACAGGATATTAGGGCAGGAGACATTTCAAATGTAGACGACCAGCAGTTGGGAAGGCTGGGTCCAAGAGCTTTAGCTCAATCCTGCAGGTACAAATAACCTATATGTCTGCACACACACACACACGCACTCACACACACACACACACACACACACACACACACACACACACACACACACACACACACACACGCACATAAAGAGAATAACGTCTGCGGCATATGCGAGGCTGGCTAACATCAGAACGGCGTTCAGGAACCTGTGTAAGGAATCATTCAGAATCTTGTACACCACATATGTAAGACCAATCCTGGAGTATGCGGCCCCAGCATGGAGCCCGTACCTTGTCAAGCACAAGACGAAGCTGGAAAAAGTCCAAAGGTATGCTACTAGACTAGTCCCAGAACTAAGAGGCATGAGTTATGAGGAAAGGCTGCGGGAAATGCACCTCACGACACTGGAAGACAGAAGAGTAAGGGGGGACATGATCACAACCTACAAAATCCTCAGGGGAATCGACCGGGTAAACAAGGACGAACTTTTCAACACTGGTGGGACGCGAACAAGGGGACACAGGTGGAAGCTGAGTACCCAAATGAGCCACAGAGACGTTAGAAAGAACTTTTTCAGTGTCAGAGTAGTTAGCAAATGGAATGCATTAGGAAGTGATGTGGTGGAGGCTGACTCCATTCACAGTTTCAAATGTAGATATGATAGAGCCCAATAGGCTCAGGAATCTGTACACCAGTTGATTGACGGTTGAGAGGCGGGACCAAAGAGCCAGAGCTCAACCCCCGCAAGCACAATTAGGTGAGTACACACACACACACACACACACACACACACACACACACACACACACACGCACTCACACACACACACACACACACACACACACACACACACACACACACACACACACAAATAAAGGTTTAGGAGTCAGAAAAGGAAAAAGACTTGGGGGTTGATATCACGCCAGACCTGTCTCCTGCAGCACATATCAAGCGGATAACATCAGCGGCATATGCCAGGCTGGCCAACATACGAACGGCATTCAGAAACTTGTGTAAAGAATCATTCAGAACTTTGTATACCACATATGTCAGGCCAATCCTGTAGTATGCAGCCCCAGCATGGAGTCCATATCTAGTCAAGGATAAGACTAAACTGGAAAAGGTTCAAAGGTTTGCCACCAGACTAGTACCCGAGCTGAGAGGTATGAGCTACGAGGAGAGACTACGGGAATTAAACCTCACTTCGCTGGAAGACAGAAGAGTTAGGGGGGACATGATCACCACATTCAAGATTCTGAAGGGGATTGATAGGGTAGATAAAGACAGTCTATTTAACACAAGGGGAACACGCACAAGGGGACACAGATGGAAACTGAGTGCCCAAATGAGCCACAGAGATATTAGAAAGAACTTTTTTAGTGTCAGAGTGGTTGACAAATGGAATGCATTAGGAAGTGATGTGGTGGAGGCTGACTCCATACACAGTTTCAAGTGTAGATATGACAGAGCCCGATAGGCTCATGAATCTGTACACCTGTTGATTGACGGTTGAGAGGCGGGACCAAAGAGCCAGAGCTCAACCCCCGCAAACACAACTAGGTGAGTACAACTAGGTGAGTACACACACACACACACACACACACACACACACACACACACACACACACACACACACACACACACACACACACACACACACACAAGCACGCACGAATTTTCATTTTCACTGTGTTTACGTCCGCACAAATCTATTAAAACATTCAATACACTACAACTAAAGAAGATCGCAGATGTTTCATATTGGTGGGTCATCATAGGCTATAGTGACCAGGTTATTACTGGGTCATCATAGGCTATAGTGGCCAGGTTATTACTGGGTCATCATAGGCTATAGTGGCCAGGTTATTACTGGGTCATCATAGGCTATAGTGGCCAGGTTATTACTGGGTCATCATAGGCTATAGTGGCCAGGTTATTACTGGGTCATCATAGGCTATAGTGGCCAGGTTATTACTGGGTCATCATAGGCTATAGTGGCCAGGTTATTACTGGGTCATCATAGGCTATAGTGACCAGGTTATTACTGGGTCATCATAAGCTATAGTGGCCAGGTTATTACTGGGTCATCATAGGCTATAGTGGCCAGGTTATTACTGGGTCATCATAGGCTATAGTGGCCAGGTTATTACTGGGTCATCATAGGCTATAGTGACCAGGTTATTACTGGGTCATCATAGGCTATAGTGACCAGGTTATTACTGGGTCATCATAGGCTATAGTGACCAGGTTATTACTGGGTCATCATAGGCTATAGTGGCCAGGTTATTACTGGGTCATCATAGACTATAGTGACCAGGTTATTACTGGGTCATCATAGACTATAGTGACCAGGTTATTACTGGGTCATCATAGACTATAGTGACCAGGTTATTACTGGGTCACCATAGACTATAGTGACCAGGTTATTACTGGGTCACCATAGACTATAGTGACCAGGTTAGTGAAGGAAGATTAATAGAGCCGTGAGCGGCCTGGTAGCACCGCTCTACACGAAGCTTCTCTGACAGTCGCCTCGCCGCCAGATCTCTGGGCGCGACAAATGCTTCCAATTTCCCTTTATCGAGGCAGCGTGTCGTGGCACCATACAAGTGTCGACAGTGTCGTGGCACCATACAAGTGTCGAGAGTGTCGTGGCACCATACAAGTGTCGACAGTGTCGTGGCACCATACAAGTGTCGAGAGTGTCGTGGCACCATACAAGTGTCGAGAGTGTCGTGGCACCATACAAGTGTCGACAGTGTCGTGGCACCATACAAGTGTCGAGAGTGTCGTGGCACCATACAAGTGTCGACAGTGTCGTGGCACCATACAAGTGTCGACAGTGTCGTGGCACCATACAAGTGTCGACAGTGTCGTGGCACCATACAAGTGTCGACAGTGTCGTGGCACCATACAAGTGTCGAGAGAATGTCGTGGCACCATACAAGTGTCGAGAGAGTAACGTGGCACCATACAAGTGTCGAGAGTGTCGTGGCACCATACAAGTGTCGAGAGAGTGTCGTGGCACCATACAAGTGTCGAGAGTGTCGTGGCACCATACAAGTGTCGAGAGAGTGTCGTGGCACCTTGCAAGTGTCGAGAGTGTCGTGGCACCTTTCAAGTGTCGAGAGTGTCGTGGCACCATACAAGTGTCGAGAGAGTGTCGTGGCACCATACAAGTGTCGAAAGAGTGTCGTGGCACCATACAAGTGTCGAGAGAGTGTCGTGGCACCATACAAGTGTCGAGAGAGTGTCGTGGCACCATACAAGTGTCGAGAGTGTCGTGGCACCATACAAGTGTCGAGAGAGTGTCGTGGCACCATACAAGTGTCGAGAGTGTGTCGTGGCACCATACAAGTGTCGAGAGTGTGTCGTGGCACCTTACAAGTGTCGAGAGTGTGTCGTGGCACCTTGCAAGTGTCGAGTGTGTCGTGGCACTTTACAAGTGTCGAGAGTGTCGTGGCACCATACAAGTGTCGACAGGGTGTTGACACGTGTTGTCGTGGCACCTTACAAGTGTCGACAGGGTGTTGACACGTGTTGTCGTGGCACCATACAAGTGTCGAGAGGGTGTTGACACGTGTTGTCGTGGCACCATACAAGTGTCGACAGGGTGTTGACACGTGTTGTCGTGGCACCATACAAGTGTCGACAGGGTGTTGACACGTGTTGTCGTGGCACCATACAAGTGTCGACAGGGTGTTGACACGTGTTGTCGTGACACCATACAAGTGTCGACAGGGTGTTGACACGTGTTGTCGTGGCACCTTACAAGTGTCGAGAGGGTGTTGACACGTGTTGTCGTGGCACCTTACAAGTGTCGACAGGGTGTTGACACGTGTTGTCGTGGCACCTGGCGCCTCACAGGGTCTTGTATACAGACATACCACATAAATAATAAATAAGAATATACAGGTACAAGAGAATAAAAAGAGTTTAAAGCGTAGACGCTAAACATAACTGCACATGTGGGACCTGTGTACCTCCCCCCCCCCCCCCCCCGGGGTGTATGATAACCCGACCCTCATTACATACTGACAAATGACAGCTGTAGAAAGTCTTTTAAAACTCTCATGCAGGGCATTACATGTTATGTAAAAAGAGGTTTTCACTTTTCTTGTGTACAATGAAGTACAGAAGGTTGTAGGAAAGTGAAGGTGTGTGTTAGGCAGTCACTTGTGTGCATGTGTGCCATGCCTGTTTGGAACACCTTTTCATACCTGCTGAATATGTGGCCTCTTCCCCCTACACTGACTTGTATGGAGAACTTACCAGCACTTTATACTGACTGGGAATGAAGCAATAATAACACAGCTGCCATAACTGAGGGCATGGAAGGGGGAAGAGAAGAGTGAACAACTGTATACAAGACCAAGAAAGGGGAGAGCGAAACACAATACAGCCACGGAATTACTACAAGAGATAAGGATCATAAGAGAAGATTCAAATGTAACAGATCAAAATGTACAAACAATTACAAAACAAAGTGGCACAGAGGTGGATCAAAAGGGCAAACATCTGTACATGTGCAAGACCTCACTTGACGCAAGGAAATGCTCTGAGCTGTACTGATCACATGTTAGGGAGGAAGGCACAGAACACTATCAATAGAGACAAAACACGATAACGGTTTTACGGAAAGCAAAATAATTGTTCAGATCCGGAAGCAAGTGGATTCAAAAGGTGGAATATGGGGAGTACTTACCTTTTGGCTACCTTTTGTTTCTTGCGGGAATCAGTGTCCCTGCGGCCCGATCTCTAACCATGCCTCTTGTTTGCTGATCTGGTTACCTAGGCTTTTAGACGCTGCTGCTCACAGTCCGACGTATGAGTCACAACCCGGTTGATCATGTATCACTTGGAGGTGTTTATCAGGTTCTTGTTGTTCTTATCGGGTTAAAAAGTCTTGGGCTTTAATGTTGATAGAATTGTCTGTTATCGTAATGCATGCTATTGATAGAGGCAGAACAAGCCATACACACCAGAGTCATAACTACAACAACAACCCACTTCGGCTACGACATGGAACAAGCAGTACAGTCTATAACAGGAAGTACGTCCACACGTCCGGGAGCGGAATACAACAACAGTGGACATAACTAATATAACTGGTTGTGAAAGTACATCAAACTGAGTACCCTCATTTATCTTGGCCTCCAGAAATGGCCTAAGAACAAATTCCTCTTCATAAATGGCCTCGTAGAGCCGTCCAGTATTTGGGGGCATTCACAGAAACCCATACTTGAGATTACATTAAAAGGGAGCTTTGGATTACACATTACACTGTATGTGATGCCTCGCCCTGTGATGATGATCTCGGCAATTAGTGTTCCCGGGGCCCGCAGAGTCTGAATAGGCCTCATGATTGGTTGTCTTTTCAACCAGGTTGTTAGACAGTCGTTAAGTCTGTATGTTGAGGACTTGTATGCACATAATTGTTAACATAATTGTTAAATCATCAATTGATGTATTTGAGACATTATGTATCAAAGTAATTTTACTGAGAAACCTCCAGATGCAACAGCCGAAAAGTCCGCTGAGCTGATAAGAAACATGAGAACTGCTTAGATAACCGGGCAACATATTTTCCGTCAAGGAAATTTTGACCTTACAAATTTGAGGTGGAAGACAGATAATAATATTGTGAAGGTATCAGGGAGGAAGGAATTATCAAGAGAACCGCCAAGCCATTATGACTATATAGCACTGGGAAGGAGTCAGGATAAGGATTTGGGATGGGACGGGGGGAAGGAATAGTGACTACCACTTGGACGGTCGGGGATTGAACGCTGACCTGCATGAAGCGAGACCTCTACCGTTCAGCCCAAGTGGTTGGGCGATCACTTACGTACTTAGCTTTTAGATAGTAGTATACTAACTAGTAAGGAATTATTTTAAGATAAATGGAGCTAAAACACAAACTACAATATTCCTAAAACCAGTATAGCGCACATATGCACTATATTCGGCTTCAAATATCGTGTATTAGGGCTAGGAAGGTTAGGTTAGGTTAGTTTTCTTTGTCAAAGCAACACAGGCAAAAAATTGTTTTCCGATTTGTCCAACTCAATAGTTCAGATTTCTGTTTTCTAATTTCGTTGTACGTCGGAATATATGTATGGTCCTCATAGTTACTATAAGTACTATCACAACAGGAGGATGGGCTGACATAATAGGAGTAACCGAAATTTAAATTCATATAACATATACAGCGAGACGGGGCATTGACTTGGACAACATTAAAGTTGAATTACTCATCATTTCCTGGGAACAACACTGAAGCTTCAGACTTCAACACAGTGTAGTCATTCAGTGGGGGAGCGTATATAATTATATATATTAGTATATTTTAGTAGCAGTCTTTCTTGTAAACATATGTTGTTGAATATGACCGAAAAGGTAAGATTAATAATTCTAACACGAATTTTCTCAATATTTCTTATGTTTTCCTTCACTGTCGGTGGTAATGGAAATATAAATTCTCCAAATTCATTTTTATTTATGGTTTGACGCCTGAATGCGTTTCGTAATGACTTATTACATTTTCAAAGACTTAATTTACACACAATTTAATCGTACATATACTCTATTGGGTGAGGTGATAAGGTACAAAAGTTTTGGGTGAGGTGAACAGACTTGAGACAAACGCAAGACAGAACACGAAACAATGGATATAACTTGGATATGAGAGCATAAGAATGGAAGTAACTCCAGAAGGCCTGTTGGCCCATACGTCTTCTTGCTGCTTCCATATTGGTTCAGGGTCTTAAAGTGGGTAAAATATAGTTGTACATTAACTGGCTGTTGATTGCTGGTGTTGACTTTTTGATGTGTAGTGCCTCGCAGATGCCGAGCCGCCTGGTATCGTTGAACATATCGATGATTTCTGTGTTGTTTGTTAAGATTTCTCTGGTAATGGTCTGGTTGTGAGAAGAGATTATATGTTCCTTGATGGAGTCCTGTTGTTAATGCAGTGTTAATCGCCTGGAAAGAGACGTTGTTGTCTTGCCTATATACTAAGTTCTTTGGGGCTTACAATCCCCATGTGGGCATGTAAAGGAATAGATGACGTTGGTTTCCTTCAAGGCGTTCTGCTTGGTGTCTGGGGAGTTTTTCACGAGAAGATTGCCCGATTTTTTGTTTTTATAGTAAATTGTCAATTGTATTTTCTGATTTTTGTCTGTAGGGATAACGTTCTTATCAACAATATCTTTCAGGACCCTTTCCTCCGTTTTATGAGCCGTCGAAAAAAAGTTCCTGTAAAATAGTCTAATAAGGGGTACAATTGTTGTGTTGGTTGACTCTTTAGAGGTTGCATGGCATTTCACCTTTCTTTTTATGATGTCTTCAACAAAACCGTTAGAGAAGCCATTGTTGACTAGGACCTGCCTTACCCTACAGAGTTCTTCATCGACTTGCTTCCATCGTGAGCGTTGACTGAGAGTACAGTCGACGTAAGCATTAACAACACTCCTCTTGTACCTGTCTGGGCAGTCACTATTGGCATTGAGGCACATTTCTATGTTTGTTTCCTTAGTGTAGCAGTGTGGAAACCTCCTCTCCTTTCTGTAACTGTTACATCCAAAAAGGGCAGCTTCCCATTATTTTCCATCTCGTAAGTGAAACTCAACACAGAATTCTGCTCAAATGCCTCCTTCAGCTGCTGCAGATGTCTGGCATCAGGTACCTGCGTAAAAATGTCGTCAATATACCTGCAGTATATGGCCGGTTTCAAGTCCATGTCAACTAAGACCCTCTGCTTGAAGGTACCCATGTAGAAGTTCGCAAACAGGACACCTGGGGGGGAACCCATGACGACCCCATCTACTTGCTTATACATGTGCCCATCCGGGCTAAAGAAAGGTGCCTCTTTAGTGCAGGCTTGGAGTAGTTTCCTCAGTATGTTTTCTGGTATATCAAGAGGAGTGCAAGCCGGGTCACGATACACTCTGTCCGCTATCATCCCGATTGTTTTATCCACAGGTACGTTGGTAAATAGTGACTCTACATCCAACTAGGCTCTTATCCCCGTGGCCCGTGCTCCCCACAGTAAGTCAACAAATTCCTTGGGAGACTTCAGGCTGAAAGCACAAGGTACATAAGAAGTCAGCAACCCATTGAGTCGCTTAGCCAGTCTGTATGTGGGTGTGGGTATCTGGCTGATGATTGGCCGAAGTGGGTTTCCAGGCTTGTGGGTCTTGTCATTTCCATAGGCATACCCAAGTGTGTATTCCCCAACAAATTTTGGCAGGTGGAGTCCGGATTTCTTGGCGTTCACAATTTCGATCAATCTGTTTACTTTCGTTTTCAATTCGGCTGTAGTGTCCTTTATTACCCTTTGGAATTTAGTTTGGTCAGAAAGTATTTGGTTCATTTTTGCCTTATATTCGTCTTTCTTAAGAATAACGTGCGACTTGTCACCTCTCCTGACGACTATCTCCTTGTTCTCGCGAAGGCTCTTAGCTGCCGCTTTGAGTTCGGGGGACAGTAT